AAAAAAAAATTTTTTTATGATTTTGGAAAAGGTAAAGACTAAGTGGCAATAAATAAAAAAGAGCAGTATCACTTTTTTCTATTTTCTAGGCAATTTTATAATTAAATCTATTTACTCGACTAGCACAACAAACAGGTCTATGGTAAAATTGGTCTTAACACTTCAACACTTAATGATATTCGTTGTGACTTCATATTCATACTATTTAAAAGCAAAGGAAAACCATTTTTCAAGGTAATTAAAATCACATTAAGAGTCCACAGAAGATTTACACACATTATTAAATATAGTAACATTGTATGGGGGTGAAACAATTTTCTAAAATTCTCAACTTAGAGATGGATATGTAGGGGCTCTTTGCTTGATATTTTAAAATAAATTTATTTCTCATAACTATTTCATTAACTGGGCTGTTAAAATGAACAACATTATATTATTTATCAAGGAGGGGAAGCCTCACCGGTCACAAAGCGGAGTGCTACGTCCTTTTGAAATCTGCTCCATTTTGTAATTATAGGCCAGAATAAACAGATTGCGTTGGAAACTACTCATTTCATTCACTTTATTCATGACATTTTTGTAGATCCGATCCATGATTTCCTAGATATTAATACAAGTCAATAATGACATCAGTTGCGATACATACTAAAATTTTAATATTTCTATCAATAGAGGAATTTTTTAAAGTATATTCTATCAGGAATCAAGTTTTAGAAGAGTCAGGGTTAGTTATAGATCATGTACCATAAAAATAACTTTGAATGGCAGAAATACATCTAGCTGCTTATACTAATAATAAAAATAAGAGTTATAAGTTATTGCTTATATTGTTTTGCTTGTTTACCTTATTCTGAATTAAAACCTAAATGACCTACTAAATGAAAAATTTCTTTTAATTCTCCTAACTTCATCTTACAGAAATACAGAATACCACATTCTTTTAGAGGGGAATTTTCCTGCACACAGAAAATCTTCCTTGCCTTCACGTCACTCTGCTTGCTAGGCCTATTACTATAAAGCATACTTACAAGACTATGCAATTAAACTTAAAATAGTTTTGTCTCTACAACTTTACATTAAGTGTAGTGAATAGGTGAACTAAAGTCCAAGTCAATTTCTGTTTAGGAAATTTAATACTTACACAAACTCCAAAACTGCCGATATAAACCTGACTGAAATAACTATGTAAGCAGACCTAGATGTGAGTACTTAAACATCTAATAATTCCCAACACTTTCAAACAAAAGCCAAAAGCACACCACGCTGACACTACACAGACACTACTGGCCTGTTTCCACTGACCACCATGTCCCCAGCTCACGATCCCATCAGGATGCACAGTATTCTCAGAAATTCAAAGTTGCACCAACTTCTGTCACTTCTTTGAAGTTTAGGACACTGTCTCTGACCACATAAGAGGTAATTATACCACCTGCCTAGTAGGAGGTGATTGCAAATCTCCTTTTCTCCTGCTAGGCTTCAGGTTAGTACTAATAAGCAGAGAGATATGAAAATGATTTAAACAAGCAGCTATTTATGGAAAAGAGCTGAAAATGTCATAGGGAAGCCAAAACCAGATGAGGCAGTAACAAATAAGGAATGGACCCTGCAGACACCTTCTCAACACACCCTTCTGCCAACACCTGGGATCCACAGCAGGTGGAATAGTGAATTTAGCTCCCGACCTGGAATTCACATGAGTTCTTACCGGAACAGCTGCCATCAATGTTGGTTTCAACATGGATGTATCCCCTTTGCTTCCTTTTTTAATTTTTGAAGACTGCAGAGAGAAAAGAGGATTGGTGTAAAAATCATGCATTTTTTTGACTCAATGAAATTCTTAGATCAAAACCATCATTTTAATTTATTTATTATCAAAAACACATTATTATAAGGCCTGTGCTTATTTTAAGTTTTAAACATCAACTTACAACATTAGTCATACTGGTGGGAAAAAAATGTGCTCATTGTAATTTTTCAATATTAAGCCAGACATCTAATTTACCTGATCTGCTAGAGTCTGTGGTGAAGAATAGCCAATGCGGCATCCATGAGAAAGACAGACAAGCTCAGCACTTAATTCTAAAACATGGGCCAGAGGCAAGTATCCAATGTAGACATCCTCCTCTCTAGGAGAAAAAGGAGAGTCAGGAAACAGGCCAGGTTCAGTCTCTGCTGAAAGTGGGAGCAAGCTGGACACACATGAGAAAGGGTCCTTGGGGAAATCAAAGCTGGGCTCCCTGCTGGGGATGAGGGGGGTGGGGGATGTCCGTAAGCTGTTTCTGTGTGAACGGGCATCAAAACTGCCCCGAGTGCGGCAGAGGGGCCAGGAGAACTCAGTGTTCCCTCTCCAGGGACACCCCCACCACACCACCCATCAGTCTCCCCCTCAGCACACGCTGCCTGCCACCACTGCTGTGAATGAAAGAAAGACCTAGACTGTGAATACAAATGCTTAAGATGCAATAAATATTGGCTATGGTATTTGTCTGGGCTGTAGTATACTTTGGTATAAAAATAACTGTAACGGCAACACACCAACTGCTTAAAATAAATTAAGAGATGTAAGTCAGTTCCACTTTGCCCTTTTAGAGTAAGAAATAATTAGTAATGCCTATATAATTGTACTTTGAACCTCATAACTATAACAATGTGTAACTAATTTTAATGCCCCTTTTGAAGGAAATACCTAGCAGACCCCAGGAATCATTTAACCACACCCTGCTCAATGAGCCGAATGTTAAGGTAACGGAAGATATCAACACTGGGCCACTCCATTTCATGTAGAAACACCTACCCCAGTCTTGGAATCCTTTCTGCCATCCCAGTGATGCCAGCAACAAGGTTACTGTGAGAGATCATGACGCCCTTGGGAAGCCCAGTGGAGCCGCTGGTGTACATGATCACCGCGATGTCCGAGGGCAGTGGAGTGCTGTGCGGCTGCTCTTCTGCAGTGAGAGGAAACGCACACATGAGGCTGAGAGTGTATCCTTACTATTACCGTTTTCTCATGATCACTTAACCTGTAAGTTAGTTTGAATACCAACTGTATTCAAACAGAGGTCATGAAAACCTACCTACCAGTCCCTGCACACAAAGAACATACATTCAATGAAGACAAACATAATCTATGCAGCAAGGCAGGCTAAGGCGATCACAGATGCTACTTATTTAGACACAAAAGTCAGGAAAGGCCTTTCTGTATGTACAGTTGACATTTTTGTACAGATCTGAATAAAGAAAGAAAGGGATCTATGAAAACCCTGGAATTCGGATAGTCAAGGAGAAAATAAGCATGTGGGGAGACTCTGAGGCGCAAACATCTCGGCATATGTAAGACCCATCAGAAGTGTGGGGTGGGATGAGCAGAAAACAAAGAAGTAGCAGCCAGCACATATCATGTCTTCAGGCAATGTCAAGGACTTTGGACTTCACCCAGGGGTGGAAAAGGGGCCTCTGGTCCCCTGTGCAGGAGCCTCTTGGGTTGCTGGGTGGCTACCTATCTGAAGACCAGGACAAAGGAGGTAGGAACGAAAGGCTCCACTCTAGCAATGAGGGTAGGGTAGTTTGTTAAAAATATTCTCTGCTTCAAGGCGCTGAAGTTAACTGGGCCACGTTCAGATGTCCGGGTTACAGACACACCTGCACAGGCACCAGCAGAAGGGCAGCAGCCTGGTCCTCCAGAGGGAGCATGGCAGAAGACACAGAAACAGGTGGCGGGTGGGTGCTGCCACGGACCTGCCTTGCTTAAACTTATAACTACCTGACCTGTGGCTTCTTTATTTTAAGATTTATTTATTTATTCATACAGAACTGGGGTACAGGCCAGAGATGCGGAGGGTGAGAGGATTCACCAGAGACAGAGTGGAGAACAGAACAGGCGGATGGACAAAGTACACTGCTGAGGGGAGCAGCAGGCGGGCCCGGAGAGGTCTGCCTCATCATGTGGATCTCCTTCGGGGCAGGCAGGGATCGAACACATGCAGAAGTGGCTTAAGCTTGCCTCTTGAAGACATTCTTCCTTCCCTCCTGCCTTTCAGAGCCGCACTACAGTGCCTTCCTTCCCCTCCGACAAGTCCTTAGCAGCCGCTGGAGTCCCCATGCCTTCTCTGTGTGGGACCCTCTCATTTTCTAGTCAAACCTAGCCAACCTGCACTGGCCCACCTGTGCATCTCAAATCCAAAACCAAGGCCAGCAGCGCCTGTCTCCAAGGTGCATGAGTGATTCCCTCAGCTCACTACATTTCACTACAAAGGAAACAAAGTCCAGCATCTTCCTCACAGCTTTGGAACCTCTCCATAGAGCACCTGCCAACATCTCTGACACCCTTCAGTCACCAGTCCAGGGCGTGTGGGACACAAAGATGCCATGTGAAGAAGGCAGAGTTGAAGCAGGGAGTACAAGGGAAGAGCTAGGCTCCACCTACATGGCAATGACATGATTTATAAACCCACGTGGCGCAGCAGGCCTCTCCTGTCTCCCCGCTGCTCCCCGCAGCAGTGGATTTCAGTAGAGTCCCCCTATTCTGCTCCCCACTCTTTCTGGTGAATCCTCTCACCACCCCACACCTCCTACTACACCCAGTTCTTCCACACATCTTTAAAAAATAAATAAATAAATAAATTTTAGACCATCCAAAGCTACCAGAAAAAGGAAATGGAGAAATTACATAATATAAAGGAATTTTAAATTTCTTTCTACTAAACACTGCTGCTACAATGTTAATCAATTACTGTTTGTATCTTCTTGAGCCTTTCTCTAAAGGGTAGATAAAAGTGCATCTGTAGAGACCTTAGTTTCCAAAGTGAAGGTCTAAGAAACTGATCACTGGACCTGGCCTTACGGTCAGGTGTCTGGTAATTCTGAGCACATGGTCACTGCTAGACAAGCACAAAGAGCCGGGAACTGGCACTTACCAACACTGGCCTTTGCCCCCAGGGCCTGCACGGCAGCCATGGTGTGCACGATGACACCCTTGGGGAACTCAGACCAGGCGGGCGGCTTCCCGTCGACGGTGATGATATGTCGCAAACGAGGGACTAAAGAAACTATGTCCTGAAAAACACAAGCGTTCAACATGTGCTTCAGAAACAGCTCAGCACCAGCCCAGGCCCAAGAGCATTTAGTAAAGTGGACTTCCTGTCACAAAAAAAGCAATGGGTAAGGGTTATTCTAAATGCTGCATTTTTTCTTCCCTGGAAGGCAAACTATTGGTCTGAAATTTAAACTGCAACTTGACAGCATGTGACATATCGGACATACTCCGGCCTTTAGCGAGAGCTGGCACGGAAGCGCAGGCTGTCTGAGCCGTCCAGGGCAGCTGCAAGCTCCTCAAGTCTTTAAGAGGTCAACCGGGTATGTAGGAGAGGGGAGAGATTCAATTATACACTTGGTTTTTGTTTTTTTTTTAAAGCCCAGAGGTAAGTTTTCACAGACGTTGTCTGGACACTAAGGAAAGCTCTTTTCCTGTAGTTTCTGTGTCTCCAATTGCTCCTTTAACAAGTTCTGGAAGCTTACGATCTAGTGTAAAATTTATGTATTACATAAAAATAATCCTTCAAATTACAAACTTATTACAGGCTGGAACATGGATAAGCACAATCAAGAAAATGCTGCTGCAATCCTCAGACACGGGAATGACAATGTGTGAATGCTTGACTTGTGCAATGCACTTTCTTCTCTAGAGGACAGGAATAACGTGATAGCTCCTGAAAGATTACACAGATATGAGGACCTTAAAGAACAAAGTGTCAGTAACCGCTCGTAACACAGCGTGGTCTAAAGGGACAGGCCTGGTCTAGCACAGCCCTCACCTTCAGCTTGGTTTGCAGGAGCTCTTTGCTAGTGATGATGTTGGTGACCTCTGTCTCATTTAATCCGTGAACAATTGCTGGGCCTCCAAGAGTAGCATACAGCGTGACCACTGTGGAAGACAGGAGGGCAAGTCAGACAGAACATTTCAGGCAAGCATGGAGTGAAAAGCAGCCAGGCAGGCCACGGCAAAGGCACACAGCACAGGGCACCAGCCTCATGCCAGCTGCCGCTGGGCTGCAGCACACTCCTGAAGTGGCTCTAGCACACTGCCCAACACTAGGTGCTCAGCCTCCCAAACGCCCCCAAGACTGCCACAGTAGATATATAGGGATCTTTTTCTTAAGTTACACTTTGTTCCACCTACAGATGTTAGTCTAGAACTGCCACACTGGAAGGCATTGTAACTTGTAAAATGTCAATGTACTGGCTATTGACTACTTAGTACTAAAATAGGAAAGACAGCATACACCAGTAAGATGAACACTGAATGTCAGGTCCAAAGCATCGCACGCTGGGAAATTAGAATGAGCAAGTGACAGTACTACTTCTAAACTAGAAAATTTAAAGGAAAATATTCTTAAGAGATATACACAAGGACTTTTATTTGCTTTCTGCCTTGCAGAACTCAAAACAAGCTGTCATTTTAAAAGACAATAATTTTGTTTAAAGTTTCTCAAAAATACTAAACCCACGCCCAAGGAAACAAAAAAAGTATGCCAGTTCAAAAAAAAAAAAAATTGGGGTACTTACAGCAAAAAATGTGAACAAGTATCTTTTCTGTTTCATCTGAAGGGTAAGACAGTAAAGTAAGCATTCTAACATCACGTTCTGACACCAAGCTCTCAGAAGGAGCTCCAGAGACTCACCAGCTGAGGCAGCATAACTGCCACTCAAAGAATTACAGTAAAAAGTCCTGATCATTTAGCATAGGACCTGGGTTTGAGGCTCACTAGATTTGAGTACTGAACTACTGCACTTACAGGTATGGCATATGAAATGACACTTACTTTTTGGAAGGGGGATTCCTTAAAAGTGGCATCAGAGCAAAGACCCATGGGTGTGGGACGAGCTTTCTGGACCCCAAAAAAATCCACTACTGATGGGTTCAAACCCCCTTACTGCACAATTTTCCACAACTGATTAATTTTCTAAAGTAGATCATAAAATTTTAAGTTGCAACAAAGAGTTGTCTAACTGGATGCAAAGTGAAAAATTAACATCAGAATTTTAATCTCTTAAGAATGAAATATATTAAAAAGTCAGTACCACCTTCTCCCACAGTGACGCAACTGCCCTCTTACAGAAAAGAAGCTTACGTACGCTGGAAATTGCACATAAAGCACGCCTGTGCTGCGATCATCCACTCAGCCCGGGTTTCACAGAAGATGGCAATGTTGGTCTTTGGTTTCTGACCCAACATCTGTAAGCCATTTCCAAAATTAGAAGCTCTAATGAAGACATCTTCGTAGGAAAGCCAATTATAGTGTCCAAGAATAACCTGATAAAACAAAACCCAAAAAAAATAGCTTTGAATATAAACAAAATAATTATTTAGAAATTATCAGGATGTACCAACTTTTAAGACAAGCCAGAAAGTCATGTTTTCATAATTAACTATTTTTTTCTAACAAAAGGCTAGAAAGTGAGTTTCAAGTGAAAGAATTATTTTGCAAATTAGCTATTTTGAATGTTTCTTATAACAACTCAAACTATGGTAGGTCTTTAGTTTTAACTGGATGGGGAAGAAGGAGAGGGTGGTTATTTTAAGAAATATTCAGAGTTTGATGGGATCCTCAAGATCAACATTCTGGCCAAAGTGAACATTTGGCAAATTCATATATAAACACCATTGATTTGCTTTGCTTAAATTTTATGCCAGCACCAAGTTCTATTAAAAAAATGGGTCCACCTTCTTACAAATTCCTGGATTCTACTATCAAAAGGTACAGTGGTTCACAAACAGATGCTGGTCAGACTTGAGCTAAGAGACAGGAATTATGGCTTTTCATGATGAAGCACTGTCATCTAACTCCGAATAAGCAAACTGAACTAATCTCTACTTATGCAACCAGTAGGGACTAGTTATGTCATCAGAGACCCTCTGCTGAAGCCTTAACTGCTTTCAACATTTCAATCTGTGCTCACCAGAAGTGTAGATAACATCGACTCAACATTACTATTGCCCCTTGTTTAAAGCTGGTTAGCATAGTTCTGTCTTTAGGAATTTTCTCTTAGATCAAACCATAAATCCTTGATTACATGAAAGGCTCCTCCTACTGTAAAAATACACTGACATGGCTGTCATTAATGTCTCTCATATCTTAAAACGATCTTCAAAAATGCAACATTTAAGAGATTTTTAGAATAAAAAACTGAAAACGGTAAGTACTGCCCTCTAGTGTCCTGTTCCATAATGAACTTAAATACATTCCTAATTTGATGAATAAAAGCAACTATATTTAAAATTCTTATTTAACTTTAGTGGTCCCAAACTCTCACCTTGCTCTGCACCCCCACGAAATGCTCAGCACGGGAGCTCCAATGACTTCAAAAGGAGCTCTGTGGGGGTGAGAAGACAGATGAGAATTTGGACGAAAAGTATAGGAACTGGATTACAATTACTAAGAATTTTACACTCAAAAATAAACATGAACTACCTCCTAGAACTCTTGAACCCAAGTGATGACCTTTATAAATAATTTCTGAAACCTATGTATTTTGGAAAAGGCATTGTTGAGTATATACTCCACAGCTCAAACCCCTAATGGCGCCACCATGTGGCAAGCATCGCATAATGAAATAAATTCAGGGGTAATCAGAATCTAAATTTGATTAATTCTTTAAGTCACTCAACCTACTATCCTACGATTTTATCTGAAATTTTCTAGAAAAAAGTTCCAATTCTCTTAGATTAGTTAGCTCAGCCTGAGATCAGACATGTATTTATTCCCTGCCTATACTGAGGGCCAGATGGCCCAAGCTTGTTGGAGCCAGATCACAGATCTCAGTACCATGCAATCCCAACACACTTCCCTGGTAATACTCGCTTTTTCTTTCTCAAAAAATAGCTGCTTAATACTTTCTACTCCCTCCTGTCTTACACTTCACAGAGAAATTAGAAATTCTGCACCACCAGTGTAACCACCTGCATACCTCAGTGTCCATACTATCTGCAGCCCCTCAAGTATGGCAACTGTTGAAGTGTCCCTGACAAAAGCCAAACCCACAAGAGCTTTCAAGAATCTCCTGAATTTCTATCACCAGCCCTGACAGCCCTAAGTAAGCCAATCGTTCGCAGCTATTCCCCGAGCCCAGTGACCTCCATCCACTCCCACTCCACTCACTGAAGCCCACGCCTCCCTGAATTAATGCGTAACAACCGGCTGACTTATCTTCCCCTACAAAACCTACAGTAGCAAGTGACTTTCAACCAGGTTACTCTTCTGCCTTAGTACTCTGCATTGTGTTTTTTCCAAGTTAAGAACAGATTCCAAAAGCCCTTCTTCTGGCTACAATGCATAAGGGACTAGACTCAACATTGTTGGCCTCCCTTCCCCACCTCAAACCTTCTTTCCACTTCCTATAAATGCAACCATGTCCTTTTAGTCTTTCCAACAGGAGAGGCCAGGGCAGAACTAGAACAAGGCAAGTTCGGTCACTCTCCAGGTCCCATGGTCTGCTACAACTCTGCATTCTATGTGCCTGTCTCTCTGGGCTGGGTCCAATCCTACAGCCACTGCACTACCCTTTCCACTGTTCAGAGGCTTCCTGTACAAATTACAGATCTTTGGCTACTCCTTGGACTTAGGTCTCCACTTAACCAGAACCTACTCAGCAAGGCGACCCCTCATGGTTAATCTGCTTTATTTCTTCATAGTGAATAGTAACTTAGTCTTAACTGTCTCTCTTCCTTTCATACAAATATGAATCTATGAAAAAATATTCCATTTTATTCACTACTGTCTCCCTGGTGCCCCGAACAGAACCTGACACATATACAAAAAGCACTCAGCAACATATAGAACTCACAGTGTATTTTAACACAACTCAGTTCACCCTGGACATTCAGGAGCTTCCAACGTCTCCTCCGTAGCAGCCTCATTTTAAAAAGATTACTTAAAAACAAAAAGTCAAAGCTACCTGACAGTGTAACTCCCACACCTACTTTTGTTTTGATCGCCATTCAATAGTGAAGACTTCCTTGCTACCATGAATTCTTTGAGACGTAATGTCCATACTTCAGTTTGGCTAGCTAAATTATATGAAACATGAATCAGTCAGTTTTCCTGACATGGAGTGATTTCCTCATTGGTAAACTCAGGGAGTTAAGATGACCCCCAAAACTTTCTTCTGTCACACTGAATTAATTGTATTTTTATTCTATAATAGGTGAGACATGCACCTGATTATATATGCACATATCAATGTTAACCCTTACCATCATTACTTGGGACAGGGGGACTTAATTTACTTTGTGACCCTATTTTGAAAGATATATACACTACTATGTTCACTGCAGTGCTACTTACAAATACCAGGTTACTGAAAGAACCTAAGAGCCCCAAGACAGATGAGGGGGGTCAGGAACATGTGGTGTGTGTGTGTGTATATATACACACAAACATACACACAGTGCAAGACTATTCAGCTATAAAAATGGTAAACAACATGTATGGAGCAGGAGGGGATTATGGCTAAAGTGAATTAAGTCAGGAGAAACAAACAGTGGATGGTGTCAACTTACATGCGGAAAACAATGATTTAAAACAAAGGGTCATATAACACCAAATCACTAACACCCTAGAAATCTAACTGAAGTCACTAAGAGAGGAGAAAAAAGTACAGCGGAAAAAAGTGGAGAGGGAGTGCTCTCCCCCTCCCTGGTGGCGCAGCCGGGTTAAGCGCAGCACTAAGAAGCTAAAGTCACTTCAGTGTGAGTTCGATCCCCACTCTGGAGGTGGCCACATGGTGCAGCAGACCTCTCCTGACCCACCCGCTGCTCCCCTCAATCTGCCTGTTCTGCTCCCCACTCTGTCTCTGGTGAATCCTCTTACCGCCCCTGCACCTCTGACCTACACCCCAATTCTGTATGCAAATCTTCAAAAAAAGTGGAGAGGGATCACAACAATGACCATAACTTCAATTACAAAAAAAAAAAGCCTTAATTTTGTTTAGGAACATATGAAATTAAGATGCTTTGATGATGCTGATAATGAGGGTCTCTTATCTCAAAAGAAAACTATAAAAAAGAGTGGACATACAGGCAGAAGGTACTGGAAAACAAAAGTACTTGGCCTTTCAGGACCCTGAAGAATGAGTCTCAGCAAAGCCTGTTTACTCGTAGCTCAGAGTCCAGACTCCCTAAGTACTAAAGACTTTCTCTAACTATGTAGCATAGAAATACTGTGCATATACACTTTCCTGCCTTCTTCACTTACTCTCTGTGAATGAGGATCACTGTAAACAGATTGTGTAGAAGTCAGAATGAAAATTCTCAAGAGATGTGGATGGCCATGACCATCAACAGTGATGCAGGCAGCTACCCTTTGCTGGTGTTCACAAAGTGCCAAGCCCACAGGGTTGTTATTAAGTCCTCGCATTAGCTTGTTAATGTTATTATTAGTGTCTCTATTTTTCAAAGAAGAATAGGGTGGCACAGAGAAACTCAGATAACCCAGGCCACAGGAGAAGCACTAGAGAAGGGGGTGAGGTGTTATTCAGTTACTTAGCAAGGTGGCCTAAGTCACAACTGTAAAGGCCCTTCTTCTCACTGCTGCTTGTGAGCGGAAGGATTAGATTTATAAAGGGGAGAGGAGTATTCTAAGGGGGGCAATAATCAGACTTAGTTTTGTGCTTGAGTCATGTGGCAGCTCTAACAAACAGGATGACCATAGAGAACAAGTCTGGGAAGAAGAAGGAGGAAAACACCTCTATCTGATTGTGGGAAATAATAACCAAGTGATAAATCTGGGCCCAGAGAACAATCATTATTTTCTTCATACATTAACTATGATGTGGACGTCCCAGTAAGTTAGAAAACAATTATCAAAGCCTCCCTGGTAGCACAGGGGGTAAGTCACAGCATTATGAAGCTATCGCCACCTGAGTTTGATCCCTGGTCAGGGAGTAACCCACATGGCGCAGCAAACCTCTCCTGTCTCCCCACTGCTCCCCTCACAGTGTATCTCAATAGATCTGCCTGTTCTGCTCCCCATTCTATCTCCGTTGAATCCTCTCACTTCCCCTCTGCACCGCAACTCCTGTATGCATAAATAAATCAATCTTTAAAATATTTATCATACACATGTAAAAAGAATTTCTGAAAGTGACTGTAGAGCAAGAAATAACACAAAATAGGTACTGAGCAAAAGGACTGAAATGAGTATTTTCTATTATCTTACAAAGTCAGTTTAGAAGTGTGTCATAGCACAATCTTAACCACAATGATTGCATAGCCCTGCCTATATTCCTCTCTCTTATGTGTGTAAAATTATAAGGAAAAGAATTGTTTCTGGTAGTTAGGCCACTAAGTGCCTGAGCCAGCCTATACTCTTTCCTGTTTTACTGTGATGTTTTCGCTCTCTGTTCTGTTCCAGGGATGTGGACTTCGCTCTGCCCTGGAAGCCAGCCGGCACACTGCTCGCCCAGCTCAGAAACCCACCCACCCAGGGCAGCTGCTGCAAGGCTGGAATTAGGAGACAGTGACACACATTCCGGAGGTTCTGCTCTGCCAGAAAACTTGAAATAATGGGAGGGTAGTCCTAGAGCAGCATGCCCCCTCCCCCACTGCCTTGTTTTCCTCCTCGTGCCCCGGGAGAGCCCAGGCTCCGTGAAGGTGACAACCATGACTGGCAGCAACACTCAAGGTGATCACTGCCACTGCTTGTCTTTGTACTTCTCTTCCCTTGGAATCCCAAAACATACCTTTAGGAAAAGGTAGGGACAGAACTTCACGCAGTTCATTCATTTGAAATAAAGGCCTGGGTATCTTTGTTTCAACTGTATCAGATACATTCTAGGGTATATCCCTCCAATGAATCCCCTTCTCCTCCCCAAACAGGGAGAAAACTCTCAGGGACTGCTACATCATTAGCTTCCTCCCCCAATAAAGACCACTATCCCATAAGGGATTGATTGTGGCCTCATGAAATCCACGCTCCGTCTTAGTTGGGGCTCTGAGCAGAAGGCAGCCCTGCCACCACATCTGGGCAGCAGCTATGTGAGGGCTCTTTTCCACTGTCCAGCAGAGCAGATACTGCCACTGTGACAGGGTGGAGGTGAGCAAGAAAGCAGGAGGGGAGAATAAACCTCGATGCTGAACGCGGTGCCAAAACCCATGGTCACCGTGCAGGCCACAGCCCTGGGAGCTACCGAGACACAACGAGTGACATCTTGCTAGCCAGTGTCCCCACACGTCCTTGTCAGTTAGCCACTCCGCTTATTATATACAACCTAGAAATTAATCTTATTTTCCCAATGAACCAGATTTCAAATAAGAAAAACATGACATGCTTGCTGTCATAGAGATTATAAAAGACTTCTGAAAAAAAGTTTAATCACAGATACAAATTTGATACCAAACATCCATGGCAAGTAGACTTAATAGTAATGTAGTTTAGCTAGAAAATTATTAAAAATGTTTTTTCTCAACCTCTTCATGCTTCCCAGCTTCTAATTCTTGAGTCCAAATTTTTGTCAAATATCAATGAATTTACAGATATCAAGGTCAGGACTAGACAGTCACACTTAGGGTGGGTGTAAGAGAGAGGATGCGTGTACCTTGGTGTCTCACACTCAATCTTCTCAGCAACCCTGTGAGAGCTGGGACTAGTTTAGCAGTGTGCCTTGGGGGTTAATCCTAGCCTCTCACTCTCTGGCCATGTCCTTGGGGAAGTCACCTAAGCTCTCTGGTGCCACAGTGCTGTCAACCACAAAGTGGTTGAGAACCCTGACTTACAGAACTACTGTGTATCTTAAATAAGTTGAGGCATGTAAGCTCATTAGAAATGCTAGTAAATGCCAGCAAAGATCATAGATCCACATTACAAATAAAGAAACTGAGGCTAGCTTGACTTGAAAAGTAGCTTTCCTAAAGTCACACAGCCAGTAGGAGCATGGCTGAGACTCACATCCACATCAATCTTCTAACTACCAGGCTCCTAACTACTAGGACAGGCTGCCTCTAAGGATATCTATCCACTTTCAAATGAACAACAGTAACTTATACATGAGAAAAGAACTTTCTAAAATCCACACAATGGCCATAAACCTAGTATCAAGCCATCAAGAGCTCATTAAAATCAGAAACAGCAGGTCACACCCCAAACCCAAGCCATCGGAAGCACAAACCGTGTCTGGTACTACCAGGGACCTTGGTTTCAGACACGAAACAGCCCTAGACATTTTACTCCAGATCCTGGCAGGGGTTAAGACGCAGGTACCCTGCCCAAGCGGCCATTCTCAGCATCTTAAGAAAAGTAAGTAGTCAGTGCCAGGGACACAGGAGACCAGAGCACAATCTGGGCCCCTCCTAGCTGTTTCTTCTGCAGCAGAAGCAGGCCATGCTTGTCCCTTGCCACCACTTCCAAAGAGACATTTTATTCAGAGGGAACTAAAAAGCAATGGAAGTCACCTCACCTTTTTAAAAATTTTCCCATTTGGTTGTACTTCATCTTCTTCATTTAAAAGTTCACGGGTCCCCAAGAGTCTTTTGTCCTTAAATTTGTTCTTTGCATACATGAAAACTTTATCTAGGGTATCACATCCAGGGTATAATGATGAGGCCAACCCATCCAAACAGTTGACAGATCTGTACGCTGACTCAGGGTTTGAATTTACAGGCTTTGCTTTAATTTGATTTGATTTTTCTTGTCTTGACTCAAACAAAAAATAATATGGAATGTATGTTAAAATAGTATAAAGAGATATTATAAAATGTATGAAATATAAAAGAATGGGGTTGATGGTCTGTTTTAGCTTCATGGTGGATGGTTTTGATGATACGTGGTTATTCATAAGTGCTCAAAAGTAGAATTAACAGATTCCGTAAGTATCTAGAAGGAAGAAAAAGAAAGATGTTAGCTCAAGATCATTTTTAAATATATTTTTAATTCTTCATATTAAATAGGCAAAGCCCCCTCACCCCCAAGCCGCAAGCTAGTATACTGCCCTGCAGTGGCCTTCCTTCCCTTTCCAGATATATGTAAGATATTTGTACCCTTTCTATTAGTAAAGAAACTGCCACAGAAAACTTTGCACACCTGTGAACAAGTGGCCCAACAACCTACCCAGGTGTCCTCAAACATGTCCAGTGCAACAAGGGAGCGAGTCAGAAGGCCTCGAGGAGAATGGAGTGTGCCAAGCCCCATCTCCCCCATTCCTCGGCACCTGCTGCAGACAGCTCCTGCTCTGCAGCCTCAAGGGTCACTGCACACCCACTCCAGTGGGGTGCCCACACGAAAGGCAGAACAAGCAACTGGGGTTGGAATGCGACGAGAAATTTGCTTCCCACAATAATTCCAGATATTTTTCTAAGAAAATAAAAAAGTTTGGTATGATACCAGTCAACAGAGGCAGAAGTTTAACTTGGAGATCAGAGAGAGGCCATATGAAAACCCTTCCCCCACTCCAGGCAACACAGGGTATGACTAAGGCTGTGGGGACAGGAGAAAGATAAAACTCACTGAAACAAATAAGCAAACAATATAAGAACCCTGGAAAAGAGGAAGAGATATTCAGTATTCAGAACTGCGGTAAATATATTGTCTGAAATGTCAAGTTTACAACAAAGAAAGTCATGAAGCACGAAAACAAAGGAAAGTACAACCCACACAGAAGGGGATGCAGACAACAGAAACGGCCCTGAGTCCATAGGTCATGTACCAGCTATCAAGGCAGCTGTTATAAATATGTTCAAAGAACTTAAAAGTACATATAAGTACAACTCTGGAATCTTACAAGATAAGGAACGCCTCCATATCTGTCAGGGCACAGCTGATAAGAGGCAGAAGAAGAAGCTCCTAACTGATACTCAAGTCACTTTCCGATAGTGTTTGTAAAGTACTAGTTCCCATGCAGAGAATCTGGATTTGGGCCATCAAAGAAACCACAGGCACAATGAAAACAAATAGCCCCCCAACTCCCAGGACATCAGAGCTACAAAGAACAGAGGCAGCCTGGTAACACAGGAGACCGGTGTCATCATCTCAAGGACTCTCTAAAATTTTACATACTTACATTTAAGATACCACGACTTAAAAACTCTGTACCCCACTGATGACTTTATATGAAGAAAATACTCCTAAAGAATCCACTAAAAAACTAACAGAGTAAAAACATTCAGAAAAGATTATAGGATGTAAGATGAATGTACAAAACTCAATTGTATTTCTACACAGTAGCAATGAATAATAAGAAGGTAAAGTTAAGAAAACAATTACATTTACAATACTATTAGAAATACTTTGGATTAGACCTAATAAGTGCAAAACTTGTATTATGAAAACCACTGTTTAAAGATACTAAACCTGAATAAAAAACATTATGCTTATGAAGACAATCTTGTTAAAATGTCAACATTCCCCAAATTCAAGTACAGATTCTAGGAAATCTTATTAAAACCCCTGCTGGCTTCCATAAGGAAATGTTCAAGCCAATTCCAAAATTTACATGAAAACTAAAAGTAGCCAGAACAGCCAAGACAATCTGGAAAAATAGTAAAGTTGAAAGGGCTCATACCTCTTGATTATAAAACTTACTGCAAAAGGATCTCAATACAGTATGGCACTAGTGTCAGGGTTCAGGATGAGATTCTTCCACCCTATCTGTATTCTTTCTAAAACAGGGCAAAAAATTATCATCAGACATATCAGTAGGTGAAATGGACAAATTTTTATAATATACACATAAAGAATTTACATGGCTGTCAATTTTTTTTTAAAGATTTATTTATTTATGCATACAGAACTGGGGTACAGGCCAGAGGCGGTGAGAGGCTTCACCAGAGACAGAGTGGGGAACAGGACAGAGTGGGGAATAGACGAAGTACACTGCTGAGGGGAGCAGCGGGCGGGTCAGGAGAGGTCTGCCACACCATGTGGTCACCTCCGGGGCAGGCGGGAATCGAACTCATGCGGAAGCAGCTTTAGATTCTCAATGCTGTGCTTTAACCCGCTGCGCCACCAGGGAGGGCCCATGGCTGTCAATTTTTAAAATTAATGGAGCAGACCTGCAATATTTACCCTGAGTATAATGATTTGGGGGTATTGATGATCAGGGCATGATGGGGCTTTACATGGCAGAGAAGGTTACCTTATCTTTATTCTAAGAATGGAACTCAAAGGACATGTTTATTCAAACCTGCAACTGGATACCTGCCTCCAAACTATTCTTCTAGGTCATAAAAGTGGGATGAGGGCCCTCCCTGGTGGCGCAACAGGTTAAAGCACAGCACTAAGAAGCTAAAGCCACTTTCGCATGAGTGGAGGAGGAGGAGGAGATCCACATGGGGAGGTAGACCTCTCCTAACCAGCCTGCTGCTCCCCTCAGCAGTGTACTTCGTTGATCTGCCTGTTCTGCTCCCTTCTCTGTCTCTGGTGAATCCTCTCACCCTCGGCATCTCTGGCCTGTATCCCAGTTCCATATGAATAAATAAATCTTAAAAAAAAAAAAAAAAAAAAGTAGGAAGCAAGGATTGTTTCTTCAAGGAGAATCAGAAGCTGATGACAAGACAGAGATTGGCGAAAAGTGAAGGACTCAGGCAAGGACAAGCTTCTAATCACCTCAAAAGAGTTCATTCTCTTAGCTCAAATGTCCTGCAAGCCAGAGCAAGGCAGCTGGAGGAGATGTGTCCCAGGATGCTTGAGGATGTCTGATTAGGGCACCTTCATTAACAAGAGAACTAGTTTATCTACCAACAAACAGAGCTGAAAGTCCAGAAATCAGCCCTGATATTCTGGACAAGTGGTATACAAGGTGGCAGAAGAATTCAATATGGAAAGAATAGTCGTTTAAGTGTTGGACATCTACAGGTGCTATAATGAAGATGGATCCTTTTACTACACAAAAGTTAAAACAGAAGCACTAACAATATAAAGCTTTACATAGCAATCACTGAGTATAAATAGTGGTTTAGGAAGAAAAGTACAGAAGCTGGCTCTTAGAGTTTCTTGTAGTCTTTTTAAATCAAACAGCAATTTATTATCTTAAAGCCTGGGGAGCAAAGGAGAAGGGAGATATTCTACATAGTTTGAGCAAGAACCAACACAGCAGGTGTTCAAAAAAGCATCTCCCAGAGTAGGGGAGAGAGGTGAAGAGTAAGAAGTAGGGTGTTAAAATAGTTCTGCCCTTCAAGACTAAAGGAATCTGCTTCGCATTCCAGTGTGCAGAGTTTTAGAAAATAACTATATGCAAAGGATAACCTGAAGGCAGCAGAAACTGAAGGTGAGGAAATTAGATCAAAGATTTCAACAGTAATCCTCACATCCAGACCAAAAGGGTTTAAAGCAGCTGACATGGAATCAGTGGCCCAGATCTCCAGGAGCCCATGGTATATCCCAGAAGGTAGCAATTGCAGCAGTTGTTTCTCCAGCCCTTCCCAATAGGGGAATTCTTCCTACACAGGACAGTGAGGGCGCTGTTTCTGTATCTAAACTCTGAACAGAATAAAGTACCAATCAAAGCAGTGGCAGTAAAAGGAGGAAAATGGTCTGGTACTTTCATCTGAGAAACACATGACGTGCAGTAGTAGCTGCTGTGTGGGATAGTTGGGGGAAGGGAGGGCCTATTCTTGAAGATAATGAGAGTAAGATGCCTGTGAGTCAACAAACCTACAAACCACGGAGCTTAAGAAGGGGCAGGAGTAGGAGCATGCATTTTGGCACCATAATGAGATAGAAGAACAGACTATCCAAAGAGAACATGTAGGAAAACTCCAAGATCAAGTTCAAAGAAAACATTTTGTAAGGAAACCAAAACTGAGAGGAGGAAAATCCCATGAAGAGAGAAATAAGTGGGTGAATTTGGAGAGTGCAGTGTTACTTAAGCCACGGGTGCTGAAGAGAATCAAGGTGCAGGAGTCTCGTACAGTCAAGTGCAGCTCACATGGGCCGGGCAACTGTAATTACGAATTTACCTTTTCTAAAAGGTTCTACAAAAACAAGCTTTTGGCCAATTGCATACTAATTATTCAATTAAAGTGGTTATGGGAATCCAGTCTCAGGTACTTTACTGTCTGCTACATCTTAGAATGAGTATCACTTCCCAGAGCGTAAACATAAACAATGAAACTGTTAACCTCTCCCTTTATAGCTGCCAGAATTTACACCCATTTAACCCAGGGTTAGACTGAGGTCTCCTATATCTTAGTATATACATTATGCCTACAGGTAGCTCTTTAATTGAGATGAAACTTATTTTTATATATTGTTTTAAGCTGAAAGCTAACTTTTCCTTTCACTTGAATCATTCTTTAAATAAACCACCTTTCACAATTAACGAAAATATAGTTGTTAATAAACTTAAATAACTTAGCCATACCTGGATACTTCTGTGTTTTTGGAAGTGTTTACTGGTTGTGTTTACTGCTTTGCTTAACATCACAATACCACGAATACAAGACAAAATACATAAAAGATTGCAAATTTTTTATAAATCACGCAACACAAAGGAAAACTAGACAAAGAACATGTGCAGAAAAGCTAAAAAAGAAGAAATATGGATGGTTTATATGGTAAATGTCCTCAAGAGTCAAGAAAAAGAATGAGGCCATACTAGTTTTCATCAAAGTCTCACGAATATGTAAAAGACTGCAATTCCCACTTAAAGAAGTAATCAGCAGTACTGAAACACACAAATCCTTGGTGATCCCACATTTCAGAACTCTAGTCTATAGAAAAGTCAGTGCATATTATGCAGGCATGAACAAAGATTTGTGAAAATTCACATACAGAAGCCCTATGCAACATGGTCCCGAGGGAGAAGACAGCTGTGTGTGGGCAACGAGCACAGGACAGGTCGGACACCCCGTTGTCCCCTGGCTGCCCCCTGTGAGGGA